GTTCCATAAGCAGAGAGGATTGTACCTCGCCATAATTTGCATTAAAACAACTCCTCAGAATTTGCAGTTTTTGTTACTGAGCTGGAGAGTTCATCCTACCTCATCCTATTGGCAGGCCAGAACACTAGAAATCTCTGGGAGACCTAAAGTGTGTTGGGACAGATTTATGTAAAAACTAAGCTGAGCTGAGGAACTCTCTGCCACTTTGAGGAGAAAGGGAGGCCATCCGAAGAGTGACCACCAGAGTAGACTCTGGAATCCACGCAGGTTGGAGACCACCAAGGCTGGTTACAGCCGAAGAGGAGAAACCAGCTCGCCTAGATGCTCGCCTGCCCCTGCTGCCCTCCCCAAGGTCTCTCCCTCACCTCCTGGCCGCTCCACAGCCCCCTGCATCATAGCTGCGTGTCAGATCCTGCCCGACGTCAGGGCTCACCTGGGCCCAAGGATGTGCTCCCCGCCACAGACGCCGTGGCCCCAGCTTGCATGTAACACGAGGGCCCCGGCAACCGGCAGGCACCTGAGGAGCACTGACGGCGCAAGAGATTGTCACAACGGAAGAGCTAACCGGGGATCCACAGCCAACACAGACAAGGCCGACCCGCAGAGTTCATAGAGGAACCGGGGAAGGAGGCGAACATTACCCCCGATGTTGGGAGACTTGTTAATTGAAGAGACACCGTTGAAGAGACGATCAAGCCATCAGTTTCTAGAAATTAAAGATACTACGTAAGATATTCAGTAGATGGGCTGAAATTCAAGCCTGTCTATTTTACCTGATTCAGGAACACTTGGTCTGGTTCTTTGGAAGGTGAGCAGCGTTGGGGAAGGTGGACTGTGGAGGACACGCCTGGAAACCCCGCGTCCCTCCTGCTGTGAACGGGGTGGAGGGCAGGATCAAGAGCAGATATGGGAGATAACTCAGTGCCCCTCTCTCTGGATCGGTCCGGTGCTAGTTGAGGGGCAATGAAAAACACAAGTCACAGGCTCTGGTGACATTTCTGATCGGAGGAACAAAGAAGATGCTAGAAGCAACTCAGAAAAACCGGTCAAAATGAAGAAGGATCGATTGGCACCTGACATCCGTAACTTGGAAAATGGGAGACAATGAAAATACTGTTTCCTGACACAGGCACCGAGGGGGGAAGGGTCTTGAAGCTGATGTGTGGACCAGGGTGGTTTGGGGACTTGGGCACCAGGACAGCGTCTGCAGGCTCGCAGGAACCTGTGCTTGCCTCTCTGAACCCCGTCTGCGTCACCACAGGGTGTATTTAGAAAAATAACATGTCCACGAGATGGAAATGTTACAAGAAGCAACAAAAATCTTTCCTTCCTTGTTTGTTTCTAAGTAAGGTAATGTTTTAAAAATGTTACTCAGATAATAACGAAACGAAAAATAACAATTTGGAAGAGCAGCCCAAATTCGAGCAGCGCCGGGTGGGGTTACAATGTGCTGAGGTGTTTTTTTGTTTTTGTTTTTAAATTTTCCTCCTTTTACTAAGAATTTTTTGCTTATTTTTGGTCTTGCTAGAGCTAGGAAAGAGAAGGCATAGGTTTTGGTTAATTGTAGATTTTAGTAGAAGAACGTTAAGTCTAAATGCAGCACTTCAGAGGTTAGAGGTAGCTTCTGTAAGACCAGAGCAACGCCACGTGCGGGGCACAGAAGCCTCCGTCATCCCAGCTGCACAGACGAAGGGAGACACGGGTGATGACACAGTGTTGCACAGAGACACAGAACAAGATGCTGGACCTGCCCAGGCGTCCCGTGGATGGCAGCAGGACTTGGGGCTTCCAGCTCCCTTAACGAAGACAGAGGGAAGGACCGCTGTGTTCCGGGGTAAAGGGTGCAGGGGCCGCTTTGGAGAGGACCACCCAGCAGCTCTGAGTCCCTTGTGGCACCCCGGGGAGGGAGGGGGCCTGTGCTGCTGCTGGACACAGCCAGGCAACATGGCGGTGCACGGTGTCCCGCTCCCTCCTCAGGAACAGCTGCGGGCCACAGCAGAGCGCCTCTCGCGAGTGTACGAGGGATGCAGGGCTGAGTGTGCCGCTCTGCGTCTCCAGCTGACCCTCTGTGCCGTCACTGGCCAAGTTTAGGGTGGTTTTGTTGAGAATCATGGTTAACAGAAGATGTCCTGCCTCAGAGTCTTGGATAGAAACTTTTCCGGCTGTGGTCTGTATTCTCCAAGGAGACAGAACAGGTGGTGATTGTGTGTGTGTGTAGGTGTGCGTGCACACGCACAGACATACATTAGAGCCCAGGGAAGAGCTGGTGTTGTAGCTGCAGTCCGAGGGAAAATGCACCTTCCTGTGAGAACACTTTTTCTTAAGACCTTCAACTGATTGGATGAGGCCCACCCACACTGTGTGGGGGCCATCTGCTGATTTCCATGTCTTTCTAGAAGAGTGCCTTCACAGAAAAACCTGGAATAATGATTGACCACATACCCGAGTACTGTGGCCCAGCCATGTTGACACTGGCACAGATGCTGTGTTGGCCTGTAATTTTGGTAGCGATGGTGGAGTGTTTGTGTGAATCACCAAAATGCTGCACAGGACTGCATTCCTTCCTCGCTGGGGTTTGGGAGCCAGCCCCTCCCTCGCTTTGCAGAAAGCCTGACCCCGTACACAGTATGCATCACTAAGACTTCTGCCTGAACGTCCCAAGAAGTAGGTGATGGATCGATGGAGGAGAAACGCCATGCTAGCAAGATTCCAGCCATTTTCCCGCACGGTGCGCTTCCAGGGTCTGTGAAGAGGCCTGAGGTTCGCGGTCGTTGGGGTTGAGCATTGTTTGTAGCTGCAGGGCACAGTCGGTGCTGCGCGGTGCTGGCCTTTTCCTCTGCACCAAGCTGCATGCTGCAGAGTCTGGGGGCATCTGGGGGCTCCTTGCTGTGAGCATCTTTCAGTCCAGCTCTCACTCCCCTCTCCACATCAAATGAGGGGCCGTTGGTCTCAAATACTCTTTGTCCAGCTCTGTCTAGAGGTTGCTTTGTCTTTCCTCCCTGCAGACCGCAGCTGTGCGCCCCTCTTTCCCATTCCCCGAGTTTGTGTGCAGTTGGAGGAGGCGCTCCCAGCCTGCGGTCAGCCTCTGCGGGAACTCCCGTGACTCCTCGGGAGGCACTGGCGAGGACGTTCTTCCCGGGCCTTGGAGGTCAGCGGAGAGCCCTCGGCTCACATTTCCCTCCTGAGAACTTAACCCCGCCACTCTGTTGTCTGGTGGCCCCAGCATCACTGTCACATTCCCAGTTTTCCCTACACGTGATGTGGTCCTTTCACCCGGGTGCCCATGAGATGCTCTATTCCCTGAAGTCCCTTTGTTTTACTAGAATGTTAGTGTCTGTGGTTGGGGGTCTGCTTTCCCAGGGCGGCCTGTGCACATGTCCGTCTTCTGTTTCGGGGGATTTTTCTTGAGTTGTGTTGGTGTCCTTCTGTTTTACGGAAGCTGGAGTTCGTGTCTGTCCCTTTCTTTCCGTGACTGTTTTGCCCCCGCCGCCCCCTTGTCTTCTCTCCCAGGCGCACCCCACGGTGTCTGCTGGCCGGGTTCCTCCGGTTTAGTCCTCATTCTGGGTGCTTCTGTGTCTCTCCTTCCCTGTCCTGACCCCTGTTGTGTGCCTGACAGTGGGCAGATTGTCTTTGGACGTGCTTCCCTCCCGGTGCCGTTGTGAGGCCCCTGTGTGTGAGGAGGGCTGGGGCTCCCTTGACGGCCGTCCTCCCTGCCGAGCTCTTGAGCTCCTCTGGGTCCGTGAGGCCAGTGTGGGGTGTCTCCATTGTCCCTTCTGACGCCCACCTCCTTTGTCTCCTGCGGCGCCATCCTGTTGGGAGTTGGGTTTGCTGGGTGCCTGCTGAGCCTTGTGGGGGGCGGGGGGCAGACCTGTGATTTCTCCTGTCCTCACAGCCCTGCACGAAGCCTCAGGACCCCTTCTTCAGCCCGATGTGAGACGGTTTCCTCCTGGGCCCTGTCCCCTCTGCTAATCCGGCCTCATCGGGCAGCCATGGTCTGCCGGACCCTGTTTGTCTCACAGAAGCACTGAGTTTACCAGACTCCACTATTTGACGTACATACCTCTGTAGCTTTAAATATTATAGCCAACAATAAATTGTTTTTCTTTTCAAGTTTGTGGGTACGCCGCTCGCTAATTACTTGCCCTCATGGTGCAGCAGCTGAGAGCTTTCTGACCACCAGATGTTCTTGCGGAAGCGCGGGCAGGGCATGGCCCTGGCCCTCAGCTTGTATTCACGCCCAGCCCAGTCCCTTGTGTGCAGACTCCTAGGTGGAACCAGGATTCCTTCCCTGATCCCAAGACCCACGTGTACTGCTTGTAAACATCGTGTGTAGATTTTTTCAGTTGTTAACGATCTGGGAAGACTGTGGTTTGGTGTTGCTGCAATAATTTTTACATTAAGTATTTGTACAAATGCAAGTGTGTAAGATTCTATGTTTTCTAGAGATAACTGATGGTACAACATGGGGATGCCAGCCGGCCTGGACTACTGGCTGGGGGGATGGGAGAAGAAGCTCAATGTATTGTTTCTTCTCACTGATTAAGGTGGTGGGGGCTTGTGGTGTGGGCCCTGGAGTGGGTGAGGTGGAACGTTTGCACATTGCCGTTGGACGAGGAACGGGTTCATGTGCATGTGTAAATATTTCACGCGCTCAGCCCTTCTCATCCCTTCTGTGGGATCATTGTGAATTGACTCATGAGAGGGAACGCGAATGCTGAGAACGCTGTGCTCGTGCTCAGTATGAGGGCTGAAGTTGCCACCGGCAGTGGTGCTCTTCCCGTCCACAGTGCGTGCATGGGGAGCCCTGTGGCCAGCACGCCGTGTGCACACATGGTGACCCTGAGGGCTCACCTGGAGGCACCTGGACCGGGACTGTGGCACCATTAGCTAGCATGGGCCTGGGATAACCCATAGGAGAGCATGCTGGCTAGCGGTAGCGTTGGATCGAGGGGTGCGTACTTCTGAGATGATCCCTTACGTGTGTATATGTGTGAATGCAGAAAACATCGGAGCAGTGTGGGGCCGAGCAAACCTGTTTCCCAGCCCCGGCGGAACATCGTAGGCTGCAGGATTCAGCATGGGTGGAAGGAGGGGAGTGGCCCTGTCACCCAGTGGAAAGGAACCGTTCTGGACCAGGTGCCTGTAAATCCTTCTTTGTATCTTATAAAATACGATGGATTTGACTGTGTTTATGGACTAGAACTTAATAAAGATGAAAGAGTTTCTGCGCTTGAAGTCCTCCCTGATAGAGTTGGTAAGTTCTCTTTATTATTTGTGCATTATATGCTTTAAAAATGATTATTGAAATGGATGCTTTTTGATTATTCTTTTGCATTATTGGTATTTTTATTTTTACTGGAGTGCAAGCACTCCAGATACATAATTAAGTCACTAAAACCACAGTTCAAGGAACTGTGAGGGATACAAAGATGTATGAAGTTATTGCTGAAGAAATTGACAATCTGATAATGTCTAACATGGTTATTTCCCACATTTTGCTCACTGTTCATGTGGACTCTGATGGGTAAGAATATTTTCTTATTAGCTCAAATATGCTATGTAGTTACTTCATCCGATTATAGTAGCTTATGCCTTTATTTTAGAATCCTTATGTGAAGTATATCTCACAGTGTGTGTTATTACATAAGTGATCGTTGCCCTTTCAGCCATAATTCAGGCCGCCAGAACCCGTGGGCTTGAATACGCATTCTTCAGGGTTGTTTGCACAGTGACTGGGGAAGTGAGCAGCCCTTTCTTTTTTGAAGTGTCATACAAATGTGCTTCACTCTTAAGGCGTAAGGTGTCAGTTAATAATAATGACTGATTGTATCTTTAAGAATAAAATAAAATGTTATTGTTATGGTCAGCAGGATGCATGCACGTTAACCTTAACTTTCTTCAGCGTGTTCACTTGGAAATGTTTTCTGACAGCCTTGCTGCTCATGCACGAGCGCTGGTTTATGCTTTTGGGATGGTCTGATGGTCTTTAGAAGCCTCTCAGTTAACAGACCCAGTCCCGGCAGAGGTGAACTTGGAGGGGTAGAAGCGTGGGGTCAGGTTGTCAGGAGAGGGAGCTCTTCACTCCCTCTGTCCCCTTTGTTTTTGCCACTGTGCTCTTGGGACCCACGCGCTTCCCCAGCATGTTAACTCTGTGCCAGAGCAGCATGTATTTTGTTGGTGTTCCCTTTGGATAGCAGTGCTACGTCTATATTCATCCTGTGTAAATGCAGCTCAGTTCTCACCGAAGTCTTGCTTTCCGTCTTCTTCATCCATTTATGAAAGGTAACTCATTGTGCATTGTTGCATTTCTGGCTTCTGTCACATCTTACTATTCTCTGGGCCACTGGACCTTCTCTCTTCCTCCTGAGGCACATCCTCAGTTTCTTCTTGATCTTGACGTTCACCCATTTCCAACATAAGAAATGCACATTGAAGAGTCTTACTTGCAGGTCTTAAAAAATGTCCAAACCTTCATGTCCTTGTTTGTAGGAATTATCATAATATTCTTCTTCTGACCCAGAAGTTTAGTCTGCATCTCTTCTGGGGCGAGACTGTCAGCCCACGTGAGATTTACTGCATTTTGCTCTGTGTCCTGTGCCCTTTTTCCTGAGTTCTTCTGCCTTTGTAAGGACAGAAAAAGTCCTTTTATCTTGGTAAAAACATGGTTTGACCAAACCCAAATACCCCCAAATCTGTAAGTATCTCTGGTGATGGACTTGAGTTGCCTCATGTTTTTCTTTGTAGTTCCCAGCAGGAGACAGGGGTTGCTTTTGTAAACAGCAGAGCATTTTAAAAAGGAAATCCAAAGGCTTCTATACAAACCAGCAGTAGATCATGTGCTGACTCTATGGTTTGCCTTTCCATACTGCAGTCTGGAAGTTCTGTGGCCTTCACTTAACACTCCACGTGGGAAGGCGGCAGCGTTGCATAACTCAGCAGTCATCTTCTGTGTGGGACCAGACTGTGTGTTGGTAAAGGATCCATTTGAAGACTGACAGATTGTTTTATTTTGGTGAAAAAAAAAAAAACACGTGACCTGAAATTTACTGCCTTGACCATTTTTAAGTGTCTGTAATTCAGCTAGTGTTAAGTGCATTCACACTGCTGTGGAGTAGCTCTCCAGATCTCTTCATCTTGTCAGTCTACAGCTCTGTCCCCATTAAACAGCAGCTCCCCTCCCCGGCCCCCGCCTCCATGCTTCTACTCTGTTTCCATGAAGTCGGTCACGTTCCATACCTCCGAAGCGGGACTGTAGAGTACGTGTCTTCCTGTGATGGGCTGCTTCCTCAGCACAGTGTGCTCAGGGCTCGCCGAGTCTAGCCGGTGGCAGCATCTCCTTCCCTTTCAAGGCTTTGTTGACACTGCATGATACATGTGCGCCCCTCCATCCGTGGACGGACGCCTGGGCTGCTCCCACCGTTGGGCTGCCATGGTGGTGCTGCCGTGAACGTGGTGGTCAGATACTTCTCCGGGCCCCTGCTTTCCTTTCTCTGGAGGAAAGTCCCAGAAGTGGAATCCCGTGTTGGATTTTCTGAGGAGACTCTGTGCTGTTTTCCACAGTGTGGGTAGCATTTTGCGTTTCCAGCCATAGTGCACAGGGCTCCAGTTTCTCTACCACGCTCACCAGCCCTTGTCCTTCACTGTGGGTTTGGGTTTGCATTTCCCTGACGATTAGTCGTGTCGGGTATCTTCTTACGTGCTTTTCGGCCACTTACCTGTCATCTTTGCAGGAATGCCTATTCGGGGCCTTTGCCCAGGTTGTAGTCGGGTTAATTAATTTTTGTTGCTGCTGAGTTGTAGGAGTTCTGTACATGTTTTGGAGAGAGTGAGTTTTCATGTGACAGTGTGACAGGTTTGCTGGTAAGGATTTCTGATTCTGCACCGCAGTTCACTGCTGAAGAACTGTTACATCACATGGGAGCTCTGCAGTTTCCCAAAAACACTAACGGAAGACTCCCTTTTCAGCAGCAGGTCTTTGTGAAGCTGGATTTTGTACATCACCCCAAAGAGCATGTGATAGGTTGAACTCAGAAGCAGACAGGAGAGTCTGCATATCCTTCTATAAAGCTGGGCATCTGAAATGTAAAACCACACCACACTGCCGACTGAGTTTTTATTAGAAAGTATAGTTATTTTTCATTAGAAATACATTATGTGGATTTGTCATTTATAATTTCTAACACTGGATTCTGATAGTTATTCATACAAAGAAGGGCACTTTTAGATCCTCAGAAATTTTTGAGCATACTGTACAGGAGTCCAGAGATCGAAAAGTTTGAGAACTTTCGAAACTAGTAGGCTTTGCTTTAGTGCAATGGGGAGTTTTATGTAATTTTGGAGAATTACTGCATATGTAAGTAGAGAGAACCACCATATGTGTTTACTGTGTCCTTCTGATAAAATTGGGTAACAGTATCTTTAGCAAGAAATTACAGTCTGTGTTCCTTTGAATTTTATTTTAACAGAAATAGAAACACTTGCGAATGAGTAAAATAGAAGTGCTAATTGTTTTTAAAGACATTTGTCTAAAACGTGGGGACCAGAGAAAACTTAAAATCATTAGGATCCTCCGTAATTTTCCCAGTATTAATAAGAGGAAGGCTGTGATTTTCCGCCTGCCTCTTAAAGAACACAGAACAGGACTGAGGATTAGTTTGTACGGCAGGTGTTGATGCCCTGTGATCTCTGTGTTGGGAAGCAGACGGGAAGGGCCCTGCTTTTGTCAACGGTGTCTGCACGTGGTGGCTGGTGTCATTAGGGAAGACAGTGGGAGGAGGCAACAGGTGGCTGGTGATCCCGCAGACGGGGGAGCCTGGTGGGGAGAAGGGAGAGGCCCGTGGGGGCAGGGACAGGCCAGGAGGGGAGGCTTGCAGGCCCAGGGAAGCAATTTGTTCTTCACATGACCAAGCGGAAGCACTGGGGCATTTCGTGTCAAAGCGCAGGCTGGTGTGACTGCCATGTGGCACGATCTGGTCGCTGTGGGAAACAATGTGGACGTGAGAGTAACCTCTCAGGCCTGGCATGGCTGCATTGCTTAATTTTCATCCCTGGCATGTGGTTCCGTAGGTGTTAATAGAGGGAAGGTGAGTGAGCATGCGTGGGAAGGCTCCTGTTTTGGAATTCTGCAACAAGGCGGTCATTAACCGCAACACATATAAAGTAACTGTTAATACCAAAACACACTCTGTACCTCCGACAAACCATTGAAGTTCCAATTTAGACACAATACCAAGGGCAGAGGAGTTTAGGAAGACACACAGAAGAACAGTAGGTTCTCTCAGGAGCTGACTTGGGACAACAGTGCCCGTGGGATCCTGTGGTCTGGGCCCCACAGGGGTGCTGGTGTGGTGCGCGGACAGCCCTTCAGGCCACCCCCTTGCATGAGCTCAGTCTTCACGGTACGTACCCGGTAAAACCCCGTGTGAACCGTTGTTTGCTTCTTGTCCCCAGCGACCTCTCGAATCAGCGATGCACACCTGGCCGACACGATGATCGGCAAGGCGGTAGAGCACATGTTTGAGACGGAGGACGGCTCCAAGGACGAGTGGAGGGGGATGGTCCTAGCACGCGCCCCCATCATGAACACATGGTTCTACATCACCTACGAGAAGGACCCTGTCTTGTACATGTACCAGCTCTTAGATGATTATAAAGAAGGCGACCTTCGCATTATGCCCGATTCTAGTAAGTGTGTATTGACAGCCTTTATTTCTGTTGATTGCAGAGGAACTTGAATTTTAGAACGAGATGTTTGATGAACTATTTTGTAGATGTATCTTGTTTTGATTACTAGGGTCAAGTGATTATTCTTTGAGTCCTGCAGCAAGCATAAGTTGTGAAACTTTGCACCTTTTGCCAAGTAGATGTGCTGTTCTGGGCTGTGGACTTGGCATGGGTGGAGTATGGTGGGCCTCTCTTGTGTGGCTTCCTTCACTCAGCTCAGCATTTTCAAGCCTCCTCGTGTTGTGACATGTGTTAGTGCTTTATCTCTTCTCATGCCAAATACAGCGGCACTGTGTGCACATGTGTTCATCCGTCCACGGATGGGTGTGTGGGTTGTCCACCTCTTGCTGATTATGAAGGATGCTGTGGTAAACCCTTGTGCGCAGGTTTCTGAGTGGATGTTTTCAGTTCTCTTGGGTGCAGGAGTGGGATTGATGGGTCTTTGTCACTGTTGAATTGTTTGGGGGACCCCTGCAACCTTCTCCACGCACATTGACTGTGTGTGAGGGTTTTGACACAAATACATGTTAACTGACGTTTTCACTCTAGCCATCCTTGTGGTTGCAAAATGCTACCTCATCGTGGGCTTGGTTTGCATTTCCCTGATCACTAAAGACGACAGGCGTCCTTTTGTATGTTACTGGCCATTTCTGTGTCTTTTTTTTTTTTTTTTTTTTTTTTAAGATTTTATTTATCTGTTAGAGAGCACAGAGGGAGAGGGAGAAGCAGGCTCCCCACTGAGCAGGGAGCCTGATGTGGGACTCAATCCCAGCACCCTGAGATCATGACCTGAGCTGAAGGCAGACGCTTCACCGACTGAGCCGCCCAGGTGCTCCCGGTTCTGTGTCTTCTTTGGAGAGAAGTCTGTCAGAGTCTGGGTCTCTCTGCGGGTCTCCTGACCCATGTAGGATTTACAGACACTTTCTCTTATTCTGTGGGTTTCTGTTCACTTTCTTGGTGGTGCTCTTTGAAGCATAGAAGTTTTTAATTGTGATGAAGTCCAATTTGTTTTTTCTTTTGTAACTCGTGCTTTCATTTTGGTGTTGGGTCCAAGGCCATAAACAATGTACCTCTTCGTTTTCTTCTGCGAGTCTTAATAGGTGTTGCTCTTACATTTTGATCTTCGATACATGTTGAGTTAATTTTTATGATGTGGTGGAAGGGTTCCCCTTCATTCTTGTGCACATTGTCTGAGCACCATGTTGTGGAAAGACCGTTCTTTCCTTCCTGGGTGGTTTTGGCGCCTGTGGTGAAAGGGAGCTGGCTGCAGATGGATGGCTGTGCTCCTGTCTGTGGGGCACATGCTGTACTCGGTCACACGGCTCTGAAGTAAGCGTTGATGTTGGGAGGTGCTGAGTCCTACTTTGTTCTTTCTCAGAATTGTTTTGACTCTTCTGGGTCCATGGCAATTTCATGAATTTTGAAATCAGTTTGTCAGTCTCTGCAAAGAAGTCAGCTGGGATTCAGATGGGGATTGTGCTGAATCTCTGATCATCTTGACACTGTGAAGCCTTCTGACCCAGGAGCACGGATACTTTTCCATTTATTGAGACTTAAAGATTTCTATCAACAGTGTCTTGTTTTCAGAGTATTAGTTTTATACTTCTTTTGTTAGGTTTATTCCTAAATGTTTTGCTCTTTTTGATGCTGTTATGAATGGAATTATTTTCTTACTTTCATTTTTGGGTAAGCCTGTTCTTTTTTAAACTACTCCATAGCCTTTCCTCCAGCACAGGGTTCCCTGGGCCTGGACGGGGTGATGGGCAGATGCTCGATACGCGAGCGGGGTGTCAGCATGTCTTCTTGGGGTCTTCCATCAACAAGTCAGGCAATAACCTATTTTCACAGTGCTCATCCGGCCCTGAATCTCCACCTTCTTTCTTTGTCTTAGGCTTTTCTTCATAAATCTTATGTAAAGGGAAGTATTTATATGGGCAGGAATTTAATGATCAGGAGAGTGTTCCTTAAAAGCATTTCTCCAGTCTGCATGAAGTTGATTTTTGACTTTTTTGTAGAGAAAGCTCCGCAGTGAGAACTGTTGGTCTTGCTTGGGAAAGCATAGGGGCGTTGGGACCGCCCGCGGTGTCTCCCGGGCTCCTCACCCACCTGCGCTCCTCACCCACCCGCTAAGTGGTTTAGCGAGTGTAGAAGTGTGGCGGCCATGGGAGATGCTGCCCTGGTGCCGGGAGCTCGCAGGGGCCTCCATGTAAGGCCCTTGCATCTTGGCTCAGTTGTGAAATGCCTGGCCGTTGCGTCTTTGGAATGCTCTGTAAATGGGCAGCACCCCGAAAGCATGGTGGGCTGGTGCCGCTGCCGAGGAAAGAGCAGTTTTGAAGAGAGGACTTGAGCTTCGGGTTCGACATCACTTTCCTGCTCAGGAGAATGGGGACCACTAGACTTGGGCGTGTGGCCGGCGGCATGCATGACGTCAGCACCGGCGGTCAGAGAGGCGGGGTTAGGGTTTTGTGCCCCGTGAGGGACAGACAACGTGCTCAGGGCCACAACAGGCTGTGTGTGAGGCTTGGGGTACTCTGCGAGCAGCGTGAGCACAGGCGGCCTGGGGTAAAGCAGGACCCACCGCCCCCAGGGGCAGCTGGAAGCCCTCTGCTGCTCCTTGGAAAAGAGCTCGCCCCACGCACGACCTGCAGGGGTTTCTTGAGAGAGGGTGGTAGCCACCCAGCCAGCCCATCCCCCTGCCCCTCAGGTCTGCTGCTGGAGCGGGGGTTTGCTCTGGTTTCTGTGCTCCGAGAACACCTTGTAGCCCCTGCCGGCTCAGGGCAGCGTTCTCCGGCGTGCAGGCTTTGCTGGGGGCTGTCTGAGAAGTGCGGGAGCCTCCGCCATCCCGGAGGTCCCATCGTGATTAGTCTGGGCAGGGGTTCGCTCGGCACCTGTCTTCAGAGCACAGGAAGTCTTATTCGGAAGCTGGGATAGGAAGGCCATGTGTGCTGCAGTGAACGTGGGGAGAAAGAAGCTTTCAGGAGTCACAGGAAAAAGACCAGGCGTGTGTTGAAGAGAATGGCGTATTCTCAGTGTCCCAGGAGGTATTGTCTGTTTAGAAGGCCTGTTTCCAAGTCACTCCAGCTTACTCTGGAGAAGTTCTATGCATCTAGGCTTTTCCGTGGCCTTTCCTTGCTTCACCCTCTCAGATGGTCTCAGTTGTAATTAAACACAAGCCACGGGGATTTCTGGTTATGATTTTCAAAATCCTTGACATGCCTACATCCTGGGGCGGGGGCGGCACACTGTTTTTGTAAATAAAGTTTTATTGGCACACAGCCACACCTTTCATTTCTGCACTCGGTCTCGGCTGTTCTCACAGGACTGGTGGGGCCGAGAAGTTGGTGCAGAGACCATATGTCCTTGAGCCTCTGGCCCTTGAAGGAAAAGTGGCCTGACTCTTGCTCTAGATAATTAGGATGAATCCAGATGTTAACGTTTTAAAAAACTATTATTAAAATAGACATGTGAGTTGGTACATACGTAAAAATTGACTTTAAATTCTTTCTTCTCTCTTCTTTAATGCAGATGATTCTCCTCCAGCAGAAAGGGAACCGGGAGAAGTTGTGGACAGCCTGGTAGGCAAACAGGTGGAATATGCCAAAGAGGACGGCTCTAAAAGGACTGGCATGGTCATTCATCAAGTGGAGGCCAAACCGTCTGTCTATTTCATCAAGTTTGATGACGATTTCCATATTTATGTCTACGATTTGGTGAAAACATCCTAGATGTCATCATGAACTTGGCCAAATTTGTGGAACTATTAAATGTATAATTTGTAGACATAAAGACTTGATTGCTTTCCAGTTTAATGAAAGCTTAAATGTCCCTGCGAACCCACAATCTCTGCCAGCAGAACTGGTTTTGTTCTGAATAGTACAGATTTATGTGAACACAAAGCATTTTGTGTAAGGAACTCCTTCCTCTTATGAGAAGTCTCTGTGTCTGGAGGGGAGTTAGGGCAAGTTTGGTAAAGTTAAGCTAGCGTCGCAGTCGTGTAGACTGGACTGGATCGCCCCCAGCTCCCCGGCACTGTAGTTCTCCCCGTCTGCTGCCACACTGCAAGCTTAGTCTGGTACTGTTGGTACCGCCTTCTTTGTTGAGACGTATGCACCTCGCTCTCCCTGTCCACATCTGTGTGTGTCCATAAGCACCACACACACACACACATGCGCACATGCACGCACGCACACACACTTCCTTGGCAGTCCGTTCTCTGTGGATTGGGGCGGGGGTTCAATAATACTCTCCAGTTAACAAGAGTGCTTGTCCTGAGTCAGTCCGATTTCGTATATTACTGCTGTTTATTTAAAAGTAAATGTGGGCACAGGAGACACATAGGGACCTTCGGCGTGTTTTGGAAGTCAGAAGTTCAGACACCTTTTTAGTCTGGAGTCTTTAAACCATGAGTCCAAATAGGAATCATTTGTGAACAGTTGCTGGACCCACATTAGAATTTAACAAAACAGGAATCTGGGTAAAAAGCTGCCTTTAATTTCTAAGCTTTGTAAATTTTTGTTTACATTTTTTATCCTAAGTACTTTTTTTGTTTTAAAGCAAAGCCCAGGTACTTGGTCCACACGGTGTGATGCCGGTGTGTTTTGGACGGCACAGCTGGTCCATTAATTTGTACGCTCGGCAGTCTGGATTCTAGTGCGTGGATTTGAGAGGTAACAGTGCCTCAGTGGTTTGTGTGTATGTGGTAAGTTCCTGGCAGAACCTAGTGCTTTGATATTAGAAATACAAGTTTGGGAGTGGCGTTGCTGCCTTCTGACAAGTTCTCTGGGACACTTTAATTTCTATTACTGTTCTTACTGATACATGGTTGTGGTCAGAAGGCTTTTCCCCGCAGAGAATATCTAGACACGTAACAGCCTGCATCCCCTGACACCTTCTGTGGTGCTGGGCGGTCTCGGCTCCCCGTGTGCTGCTGATGTGGACTCTTCCATCATTGCGCTAGCTTCTGGGTGTGACTGTGGCCCTTGGCCACACAGTCCTTTCATGGCTTGCTCCTGCGAGGTTGTTTTGACCGAAATAGAACCATAGATGTGGTTGGGGTGGTGGCGACACGGCCATCTGTCACTTTGTTTTGGATGAGCCCTGATGGTTTGAAAGCCAGGAGAGAGGCAGTACGGGAATCCAGTCTCTTGTGGAGATTGGAAAGCTTGCCTCAGTGTTGGGCAGAAGGCTGAATGCACACGTTGTCAGCCAACTACTAGCAGTCCGTGTGGCCTCTGTCGTGGCTGTTCTCAGTATTGGAGATTCTGTCGTTGGTGACCTCGCTGCACATGGTCCGCGTTGGTGCCCCGCTTTGCCTTCCGGAAGGCTGTGCATTGTCATGCTGTTGGATGGTGACCTCGCGCTCAAGAAGTGCAGCGCCTCACCTCGGGCAGCAGGGGGAGCTTGTCCGGCTCTGCGCTTCTCTCTGCGGTGAGTGCCTGGTCTCACGCTCCTCCTGCTTGAACAGGCGTCGTGCTGCACGTCTGTCTGGCTCTGGTCAGAGTCCCTGCATGCCAGTCTCCAGGCTGAGCCCGGCTCCCCGAGTGCAGGCGGATGCGTGTGCCCTGAGAGTACCCTGGGGGTGTCTGGCGTGTGCACTGTGCGAACGTGGCGCAGTGGCTTTGGACTGAAAACCAGTGTTCTTTGGAAGTATCCTGAGGGTTGGGTCAGTGGAAACCTTTCCAGCCTCACTTAACGACTTGCATTGTGGTTCTCCTGCGAGTACCTTTAGCACCTTCAATACCACATGGTCTGCCACTCTCCAGACGAATGTGACACGTCATGATCACCATTAGTTTCATCATTGGTCCATTTGTTGCCTTTAGGGTGGAAGGAAGGGGAAGGGGTTTTTTGTTGTTTTCCTTTTTTCCCCTGTTCTCTTTTCTTTTGGTGGCTTAACCCACACTTGCGCGGTGACTGATTCCACTCCCTCGCCCGGTACTTCAGGCTTCATTCTAGGCTCACGTTTCAGATCTGCATGCATTGCTTGCCTTTTTCCTGGTATCAGAATGTTGGTTCCTTGTTTGAGGAGCCCAACATGAGTTTCCAAAATTATCATGGGACTTGTGAGTGCACAAGCCCTGAACCTGTATAAAATGTCCCGGCCTTCCTCACTGACCTGCTATCGTGTTCCCGTGTCGTGTGCGTGTGACGTCCGGCTGCCACGTGAAGCTTCCGAGGAGAACCTTAAACGCAGACCATCCTTTTTTGCATGCTCTATTCTAAGTAGGATGTTCAATGTAACTAACTGAACTTGCATGTGAAAGATATTTAGGTTTTTTGTTTTCTTTGTTTTTATTTGTTTTCAGTTCTCTGTATATTGCTTCCTGTGCCGTTGTAGTGGTCGTAGGATGAAAATGCGCTGGTGGCACCACGCAGTGCCGGCAGAGGGTGGTTCCCCAGCTCTGTCTGTCGTGCAGCATTTGAAGGGACTGTGCATGCTCGAAGCGCTCGCAGTCACCTCTAAGCCAGAGTTCATTCCTATTCCTCTTTTACGTGCCAAACCCCGAAGTGCATTGGGCTCGAATCTCTGAGCGCTCTGGACCCATTAGAAGACTGTTCTGATTGTCACAAATTGTAGTGCCTGAAGACACGCGTAAGCTGATTATCTTAAAAAAAGAAAGAAAGAAAGAAGAAAGAAAGAAAGAAAGAAAGAAAGAAAGAAAGAAAGAAAGAAAGAAGAAAGAAAGAAAGTTCTCCAAAGACAAAACAGGAACAATTATTATAACAAATAATTATGGTCGAAATGTCTGTGGTTCCTTGGAAATGCTGCGCTTTTTGTATTTCCACCATTAGTGCGGTGTGAGCGGATGTGTATAGTTCAGAGGTCTTCGTGTTCGCATCTTACAGTTAGGTAAATGACCTCATCTTTCAGGCTTGAATTCATTTTTAATTTTAATTTTATTTTATACAATGTGTAGACCGTTCCCTGTTCTCTGCATTTAGAAGTATAAACAATATAAATCTGTTAATTCTGTAAGTAATTTTTATAATTATGATGTAACTCTATCCTATCCTTAAAACATTTAAAATAAACCCTTTATGTGCAACTTCTGACTGTAAATTTTGTGCTCATGAGCAAAATGTGATGTGTTAAACCTGCTTCTGGAAGTTTTTTAAAGTTTACTTTAAGATTTTAAGTAACCTTTTCCCCTCTCCACCACATGTAAACCGTCCGATGCACGCAGAAACGGAAGGAGGTCAAACTTCTCCTTGCATATGTTAACACTTGGTCGTCCCCAAAGGGAGAGGGGCGGTGAGCGGTGTCCTAGAGCCATTCTGTAGTGGATTGCCATTAAGGAGAAAATTTATCATAAAATTTTAAACTTGATTATTTTAAATAGAATTAAATAATGTGTATTTTATACTTTCACATCTAGTTTTGCTTTATATACTGCCTGTAATGTTGTTAATACTCAAGCACCCACGAGCGAGCACGTAGGGAAGATCTATCTCCGTTTCCCGGTGGTGGGATAAGGAAGCGAAGGTCACGCCACTGATGGGTGCGTGTTCTGTGCCTTATTTTCCTGGGAAGTTTTAACCAGTGAGGTAAAAAGTAGATCCCTCATGTGCCTTTAATTAGATTTGTGTTTTGATGTTTGCCCGCTGAGTTGGGCCCGTGGATCACGTGGTTAAGGCTGGGGCTGGGGGAGGCACGGGCAGGTGTGGGACGGGGAGGACCGGCGTCCGCCCGTGGGAGGCCCGATCTCGTGCCCTCCTCCTGACACGCACCAGCCCTCCTGCCCCTGCAGGTGCAGCTTGGGAAGCGTGTTCCCTAAAGGACAGCAGGTTTCGTGGGAAGGTTGGCGGTCGCCGGTCGCTGTCCGTAGGCCAGCGAGTGGGTCTGTTGGAAGCAGCCCTGCTTGGAGAATTGTGGGTGGGCCTGCCAGTTCAACCGTCCTCGGCGTAGCCACGCGCTGGTGGTGAGTAAACTGTGGCAGATGCTGTGTAGCCCTCGGCCGTTGCCGCGTGGGACCCCTGGTCAGGGGGAGGCGCGCCTTTTGTCCGCGGTGCCTGTGGGGGCACATGTGTGGTCCAGGACAACAGCGGCCTCGGCGCGGGGGCCCGGAGAGGCCACAGCCCAGCCATCTCTGCGGGCACTTCTGTGACCTTCCTTCTCAGGTCAATAGTAAAACGTGTTGTCTTGTCTTCCAATTATGCTGAGGAAATCTGCATTTCCGTCACAGGACTGTGGGAACTATTTTGTGTTTCAAAGATACTTTAAACATGTCCTTACGTTAATATTCTTGTAAAACCTGGGCTTCTTAACGCCCGCAGTACACGGTCTCACATGTCAAGTCTAGCACAGGTTTGTCCTATGTCCTGTGTTTCTAAGCGCTCAGGCCGCCAAGTCTCAGAGAATTAGGGGAGTCTTTGAATTACTTCTGCAGATGCTCTCAGTCTCTCTCTGCCCTTGTATTGCCCATAAAACCCTTCAGCTAAGGTGACTCCATGGCAGACGGTTTTAGGGTTATTGGCCTGGCACATCATTTTGCCTAAAAATGACCCTGCCTTCTTTCTGCGTAGTTTTTTCCTGAGGATGCTGGATCGGGGGCGATCCCCTGCCCCCTGCCAGCCCAGGTGTGGGGATGTGCGGGCCCTGGCTCGCCCTTCTTTTTTTGTGCTAGCCATTCCCATCTGGTGAGTAGGCTGCCGTCTGCCATGTGGGCACGTCCCTGCGCCGCTCACCTCCGCGCCGTGTACTCAGGTGCTCGGGGAATGACCCAGAACCCTTCACGGGATCAGCACATGCATGTAACTTTGAAACTCTGTCTTGGTGTTGGAACAGCTGCGGCAGATGTGACGTGAACAGGACAGAGGCAGGCCTTGGCGCTAATGCCGAGCTTGTGACTCCGGACTGGAATTCTGCATTCTGCGTGGACTGTGCGTGCAGACTGCAAAAGGAGCTTTAGAGCTCTGTGTCGATTTTGTGTCCCGCCGGGTGTGTAAGCGATCTGGTAGCTTCTGCCCAGGCGCTGTGTGTGCATACGTGTGACAGGCGGTGGGTGTCCCCACCAGGGAGATGAGAGGAGCTCTCGTCCCGGAAGTTGTTCTTCCCTGGGGAGTGCGTGGGCGTGCGCGTGCGCGTTACGCACCGGGGACCTTATTTTAGCAGACCGTTGCTTCGGCTTGTCCCGTAATGCTGACGTCCCGTCGTGTTTACCCCTTCGTTGTGTCCTCTCCAGAATGGCCCTGCGGCAGCCGTCGTCACAAACTGAGAAACGCGTCTGAGGGGCTGGAGCCCGCAGTCTGCGTCGTCCTGCAGCTGGGATTCTGGCTGAGCAACTGGAGGGGAGAGTCCCATCTGCACTCAGGGGACCTCTGTTACCAGAGGTCCCTCTGCTGGACTCACACAGGTTCACAAACACAGATGCGTCTCTGCTGTCCTCACCGGCCTTCTCTTTGTGTTACTTAGTCATTGTGTTTCTCAGAAGGGTCGTGCTCTGATCAGGCATGTGCTGGGCCGCCGAGGCCGTGTTTGTGCGAGCACTCTGC